ACAACCACACCACAAGAAATTATTCAGTTAATAACTGACAACCCACTGCCACGAAGTGGAAACATATTTTGGAGGAAAGTAGCATATAATTTATGGCGAGTTCAAATGCCTGTTGAGAAAACAATTCAGAGTAAATTTGAACTATTTTGGCACAGTATTTTTTTAAGAGACGAAGAAGGAACTATTGAACTGTATGAAAACATTAATAATGTTGAAAAAATCAAAGCAGTAGGAGAAAAGTTTAACGAAGACAGCGGTATGGATTCACTGTATGTGAATATCTGTATTTTAAGAGAAGCAATTAAAACAATGACAAACGACAAAGATTTGAGAAAATCCATATTCAAAACAATACTTCACGTATGGAAGGAAAACGGAATTTGGATAAATAAAGAAAGATAAGCGTTTGAAACCAGTAACAGCATAGTTATAATGTAATTATAATACATAAGCAGTTATATATTATAATTACATTAGAGTTACAACATGATCGGAAAATCCGAGAAGATTAAGCTTTGATAAAACCCTTAACCCTAAACCCTGAACCAAATTCTACGAGGACCCCCTTGCCCAGTTTGGTTAATAATGCCACATTAGAGATAATAGATGGGGTAATTGATTATTCCTATAATTGTGTTGATAATGGGGAAGTAGTAGTGATATTTCGGTGAAATGTAGGGGGGACCCTAGGAATAATCATCTAATGGGTTGACGGTGGCATTATTAGCCCAAAAGGGGCAAGGGGGGGTCTAACTGTACCACTGGTACCACTACTACTACTACTACTACTACTACTACTACTCGTTGTCGTCGTCGTCGCAGCAGCTGTCGGAGTAGCTGCTGCTGCTGTTGATTCAGTGTGCCGCAACTCTGATCAGTCTTCGGGAAACTGCTGCTGCTGCTGCTGCTACTACCATGACAACAACAGTCACAATTACAACAAATACACCTGCTACGACGACTACGACCACTCATCGGAAGAGTGATGAGAAAATATCCAAGTAGATTCGGGGCCTCGTGGGCACGGGAGCCCAGAGGCACGAACCAAGCCCTGGCCTGGCAACTTCAGGGTTCCACGTCTGTCCAGGGCTTTTGAACTCCCTATCCCCTTCAATCAAAAGAAACGCACAGGGTCCACCAGGGGCACCTGGGTCTCAGGCTCTCAGGGTCTCAGATCAAGGAGTCATAGGACTGCGAACTGGGGAGAAAAACAAAAGCACCAAGTCGAGGCCAACGGACTTTTCTCGCCTCGAACCTGCTCGACTAGGTTGCCGAAGGGGGCGACCCCAGAGTTGCAGAAACCGTATTAGCAGGGGGCTCTCAGACAGGCTGTGCCGATCACTCTGTGAGTCTGTTGGGGTGAGGCGGGAGAGCCACAAAACTTCAAGCTGCTACCCGTCTGCACTCGAGAGGAAGTCAGCCGTCGGACAGGTTTTGTCCAGGAGTTGCACACGTGCATACAGCGCAGAAATTCGCAGTGTGGCACTGACCAACACCGTTAGATCTAACATACCGTTAGAATGGAGTACACCCGTGGCACTTCCGATAATACCTGCTAGCTGCCTGCATTTTGTGAATCAATCTTGAAACCTCAAGGACCCCGTTATTGTAGGATGATCTTGTGCTAATCTGGGACTCTTGGAGTCGTGGAAAAGTTGCGGGTAGGGCCGGTTCGGTACCAAATTGCCGGTGTGCGGACGAACGTGTCTTGATGAAGCCTACAGAGCCGAAGTGGTGAGTTTTTGGATCAGGGTAGTGCTTGGGGCTGCCTCAAACCCGAGCAAGGCTGCCTTTGTACAGAAGGTATGTGCACGGTAAGGGTACATCTAGAATCTCGGGTAGCATCTGGACCTGCTCGTCCAATGCACAAGGCATCTCTTTCGCTCGCACCTCCATCTCGCCGACGGTGAGGAAGGAGATCAGCTTCAGAAGGCTCTGACTCTCGGCCTGCGAGATGAAGCGACTCGCGACGACCCGAGGTGCTGCTTCGGGTGCCCGGCGAGGACTCGGCTCAGAGCCCTGGGCGAGTTGGTGTCGAGCCCGAAGGACTCCAAGTACTCTGCCTGAAAGTCCTGCACTTCAGTGCTAGTGCTGCGTGTGCTCGCAGAAGCGACAGACACGCTCAGACTCAGCTCACGGAGGCGCTTGAATAGGGGAGCTAGACCAAACAGAAGCGATGTATCCGGTGCTGCTGCACTGGCTCGGTCTGAAACCGCTCAAGTTGCGTATGATATTAATCCGTCCTTGTCATCCAACGCGGCAACTTCTGCTTCTAGTTGGGCAGACACCTGGCCACAAATCTTGAGCAGCTGAGCGTTCGTACATACATGACTGAAAAACATTTCATGGAACACGAGCTGTGTCCCCACACTTGAAAAGAGGGCCGCGAAAGCTAGGGCAAACAAAACTAAGCAGAGTTGATAGAGTCTGATAGAGCTCCTGTGTCGTTGTGCGCCATCTATACGCACTCGGTCGAGTGAAGACAGAGGCAAGTGCCGTGGTGCTTGAATCTGCCAGGTCGACACCCTAAACATGCATGGACAAGAGATGCACCTGCCACTTGCCACACTACTTGATAGAATCCTGCCATGTCGACGCACTAAACCAGCATAAGCATGTGTTGTGTGAAGAACTAAAGCAGCAACAATAAACAAATTGCCCAATCGCAAGGCCGCAATTCCTGCAATTGCCATGTTGCTGGAGGAGGGGGTGCCCGGAGGGCGGGGACCCCCCCAACTTTGCACACTGTCACAGCCACTCCCATCCTAATCTATCATTTGCGTTGCTCAACTATTGTTATGGACCAAACTAAGCTCCTAGGCACGACTTTCCCCTGAGTCACTACTACTTAGGTGAATTGGCTACAACTCCTGCAAGCTCCACAGAGCTAGCTTTTCGTGGCTTGTAGCTTTGATAGATGTGCGGCTAAGTCTGCAGGACCTGGCCGGGGCTGCAGCTAGAAGACTTCATGCAGAAGGGAAGGTTGGATGCTCGGAACGATTTCCCAATTCAGCCAGGATCACAATGATGAATCGGCTCGCTAGCCCGCCCAGTGCCTGCATGCTGTGATAGGGATGCAGCACACCTTGTCGACTGTCACAGGCCATTACATGCCTGGGCATCAGTCTGCACATGCTCCGCCAAGCCTGAGACTCTTGCACAAGCACTCTTAGCAGTCAGGGAGCTTGGGATGCAGGCCGGGAAGCAGTTGGCTGTAGCAAGGCCGCACACATTCGAAATGAGACGAGCGGCGGGCCGTGAACTCGTTGCCACTTGCGGCGTCCTGCTAGCTGTCCCGGCTAAGTACGTGGGCAGAACTGTGCCGGAATGTATGGATGCTCTGTCTGAGAAGACAGTAGAAGACCTAAAGGTCCCATGAACACTCGACAGCTAAGTTTGAGGTGCTCCGCGCGTCCTCCGCGGCAACGTTGGCCAGGACTACCTTGGTGAGCATTCAACGCCTGTGACCCACAAGCACATTGCGAATCTGAACGTGCCTCAGCTCGGTTCTATGATTCGTGGGCAATCTGCGTGAGAGGACCGAGACGTCCGATGCGAGTCCAACAGTCGAACTGTGGCCGGGAGCCGTTTCGCGCTTGATTAAGTTTTTGTGCTCCTTGCCGGTCGTATGAGTCAATATGTGCTACACAATCTTGGCCACAAACCACTGGCTTCGCGGTGATCAGCTGCGCGAGGAAGTCGTCACTGGGCGACCTTTCCAAGACGGTTGGAGCGAAGCAACGCCACCTCTCATGGCCACCATGCCTCGCATACCCGAAGTTCCAAGGGTCTCACAAGCAGTCTTCGTCCTGACGTGCGAGGGCCTTGGCCGAGGGCGGTGTCGCAGCAAGCGTTTCGAGCACTTATGGGCTCGCCAAGTCTTCTTGCTAAGACTCGGCAGGCCGAGGCTGCGGCATAACGCGCTGGCTTGCCATCCTTGGCTAAACAGCGAGGGTCTTGCCTGGCTTGCCTTGCTTGTTGATGCCGTGTACAGCGCAGCTCTGGCATGAGCTCTTTATGCTCTTTGCTCTGTAAGCACTACTGCGACTTTTGGTTTCTGACGTATTCGGATGGGTGATACTGCATGGCACAGTGCGTGTGCTGAAGGCCCGCGCTTCGAGGCACTTCAAGATCTCCTCGTAGATAGCCAGCATCTTTGCCTCGGTAATCATGCGAGTATTCGAGGCGGGCATCGCACATATGAGCCGAGAAGCCAAACTAGTGTCTAAGATCCAGCCCCTGCGTCTAACTTGCAGCGCTGGAGAGCAACAATGACGTAGAGGGTTGGTTCAAACCAGTCCGCATCCGGAGCCCAGACAAACGGAGGGACTCCAACAGCAACCTGCAACACACGACAACAAGTACAACCAGGCCAGGACATCCAGCCGCAACAGCCACGAAGAAGAAATAGTCGAGGCCAGCTCGAAACAACAACAGCGTTTGGGTTCCTTTGGAGGTGCGCTCCCTGCTTTACCATGAGAGCTTGGGTGAAATGTGGAAAGTCGAGGCTCCGGGAGCTTTGGGAGCGTGGAGCCTCGAAGCCCGGGTTTCCAAAAAGCAGCTAAGGGGGATGAAATTCCAAACCTTCAACATTATGCCTTGGAGAACCCAAGCCCCAAAAATCAAAAGCCATCCGAAAGCCCAAAGCAAGAGAGCAGCTGGATCCGATCCAGCTGATGGCGCCGTCGTGGCCTGGAGCGCGGGCCAAGGTTGAGGTTCATGCATCAAGCTGGATGACATGTGGTGCGTCTTTTCGCTTCCGTAAGATCTGCATGCTGCCCTGGATCGTTACCTTCGTCGGGCAAGTGAGTTCGGCATCTGTCAGGCAAATGCAAGATTAGGGCCTGGACTTTCGTGATTCCAGTGACATTGAGCTCAGTTTCGTAAGTAGGAAATGGCGATTGCATGACATGCCTTGCCATGCCGACATCAGTGGTGGGTGACAAAGCGGCTCTGATGCTCCTCTTGCCTGATGCCACACTGAAGTAACGTTCTGCCAGGCTCGGTACATGCTCCACCTGCTGCCCTCTCTTGTGAAGACCACGGCCCTCTCTGTGGAGACCACGGCACGTGTGTTGGTCAGTAGTAGTCTGTAGCTTCGAGAAGTTGTTGGCAGGCGCCTCAATCGTGTGGGTTGAAAAGCAACGGAACTTGAAGAAGTTTGGGGCAGCGGCAGTTCGTTCGCCCCAAAATGCTTTGTTCAGCTGTCTTTTTTCCAAACCACTCATAATTGATCGATATGATATGCAGCTTTCAGTTCAGAGTCCGGTGCTCAATCACCCCTTTTAAGCATGTTCTCCAAAAATATATTCTGTATAGATGGATGGATAGATGCAGAGAGCGGCAGTGCTGAGATGGCGGGACTGACGTTTGTCGCCGCGTATGCAATCACATCGCAGTGTTCCCTGCCTTCTTCCGCAAAGCCGGGAGCCTTTTGGAAGCGTACCTGGGTTGATGCGAGGAAGGGCATCCGTGGATCTGCATGCGCAGGATTTCGACAATCGCGAAGCAAAGCGAACTTGTCGGCACGAAACAGTACTGTGGCAACTGGTATGACTCCAGCTCCCATCCTGGAACCTTTGCAACCTCCCAGGCATCACGGACCGAAATTCCTGAACATTCCTGAGCCATTCTGAAGCACAACTCTAGGGCTCGAAAGCATACGGGCCCGGAGTGCTCGAGGTCTGCAATTACCAGCTCCTCGAGGATAGACTCGTACCTGGATGGCACGGCTCGGAATTGGACGAACAACTCGGAGAAATTGAAATTTTGGGAGGCTTCGCCGTTTTGACCGGGCGTTGGTCTTGCGACAACAGGCTCGTGCAGCAGGCCAGCTGTGGCTGCAAGGATAATGTATTCATGACTTCTGTGGAAGGTGCTGAGCCCCTGGCTCCTTGACTGGGTCGATGTTGATGGGGTCCTGATGTAGCAGTGACGCTTCTTCTGATTGTCCGGCCACTCGTCGACTGCCTCAACGTGCACAACCTTCTGGTCGCTGAAGCAGCGAACCACATGGAACACCACCTGCACGGGTATCAATGATTTCTAGAAAGGCCACGGAGAACCCGAAACATGCAGACTCCGCCCCGTCGTCGCGTGCAACTTGCCAGCCGCCTGCACGCCGCGGATCTGGCTCAGGAAGGCGTTGCCCATGCCCGCTCCAGTGCTGGCACCCTGAATTTTCAGTTGAAGCGTGGGCAACTTGCTATGTTTGATTGTATGCCCGTGAGAAGACGAGGGCTTTGTTCGTCAACAGATGTCCGCTCTCATGTGCGAAACTTGTAGGATTCCCTTGGCCTTTCCAGTACTCTCAGATCCACCACTGTGGGGTAAAATACGCTGCCATCTCAAACCCAAGCTTCGTGCGACTGTAACACCCGCAGCACAATGCAAGCAGACTCTTTAGCCTTTTTCTGGGTGTGTGCGTGGTCAAAAAAACCAAGAATTGCGGGCGGAGGCGGAGGGCATGTGCCTAGCAAAACCCAACAACTTGGTATCGGTCTTGCAACTTCAGAATCATCAAGCACTTCGGCAGTGCTTTGTTTTCTGTGTGGCTTACCCAGCTCGGACACGCACAAGCCAATGCCTTGATCAGGCCAGCAATGTCTCGAATTTCCACTTGGCCAGGAACCTCATTCATGGAACGCCTGCCCAGACTCTGTTTTGGTAAGGCAAGCCTAAGTGGCCGGCCGTTCGCTGAGACGAAAACAGCTCCGCCAAGCTATCCAGTCGAGAGTCCGGCACACCCACCTCCGGACAGCTTCACCCACCCGAAAGAATGATATGAGCAACACCAGCCCTTTGATAGCTCGCCGTACAAGTAGCAATCCCAGGCTGAAGTCAAGTTTGGGACTCATTCTCAGCACCTGTCGGCCCACATGTTTCGATGGCAGACTCTAGACTCAAATTGTTCCATGCAGCCCTCTGCTGTGTCCTCCTAGACAATCATGCGGGGCTTTCGCCAGGACCAACCGGCACCTTGACGATGTTGGGCTCGATGGTGCAGAACGGGAAGTTCTCTGCTGCAGCAACTGCAGCACCTAGCGAGAGATCTCCGGTGTGAAGGTCGGCTCCAATTTTCACAGCTCCGCGCAAGATAAGACAACTTCCAGGAAGCTGACCCGCAAAAGCATTGAAGAGGGAGGACTTCCCAACATTCGGGTAGCCCACCTCTGTCAGAAAAAATTCTCGAATTTGCAGGAAGACTTGGGGCTCCTTCGCCCCCTGGTTGTAAGGCCGCGGCCAGGCCGCACGCCCGGTTCAATCCTGCATCGCTAAGAGCTTCTTATATGCTGGCATTCGAATCTTCGGAAGGAGGCATTGCAGTGCTTACGCGCGTACTGTGACTATTGGAGTTGATGCCATTTTTCTATCTGCTTTCCCGTGCTGCTGTGGCAGGACGCCTCTCGTGATGTTGCAGCAAGGATGCGATGCCTCTGGTCTGTCCAACAAGGGCGTGTCGGAAGAACCACCTCGTTGCAGTTAAAGTCAAACATGTTCGATACTGTTTGTGACATGAGCGAGCCAAACGGGATCCATCCGCGCCGTGTATGCTTGATGGCAAACAGTCGTTCTCAGGTGAGGACTGCTGTGGCTGCACCTTGGAAAAAGAGCACAGGTTGAACGCAGCTCGGACAGCAGGCCCTGCACACTGCTAGGCAAAAGTCTGCTTTGGCCGCACTCAGGATGGCGCAGTCGCATGTACCAGGCGAGGAAACATGGACGGCCAACGCCAGTTTCTAGCAGGGGCTACTCCACAGGTTACATGGCTGCACTGCCGAAATCTGCGCTGCTTTCATTCCCTGTGAGAGGTGACCGGAAACCTTCAAAGCTGGGCAACGCGCCCATGTCATCGGTAGTTTACCATGATGAGGACAAAAGCACCCCCCCGATTTGCTCATGATTTCATCTTGGCACTTAGCCACCTGTATATGCAAATTGTTCGAATATGTATACGTAAATAAATAAAGACATAAATAAATAAATAAAATATATATATATATAACACTTTGCTAATATAGATAGGTGGTACGTCCCGCTTACGTACGTACAGAAAGTTTGACTTGTACTTGTCTGTCTGTGTATCCGTGTATCTCTCTGTCTACCGGCCCACTCACCCATCGGCTTTGTAGCTGGATGTCCCAACCATCTATCTGGAATCTATGGCCCAAGCCGTTTCTGCTACTGCCAGCTGGGAGCCCAAAGTGCAGGGGATTCAAAGAGAACGGCACGTGGGTGGGTCATGGTATGCAGGGAAAGCTGCACTTCAAGCCAAATACGGTAACAATCAAAACTGTGCTAGCTGTGGGTGCCACAGAAAGTGCGCCCTTCTCTGCCATGAGCTGCTCGCACCGCTTCTCCTGCAAGACATGAGTTCATTCACAGCATCTGCCAGGTGGCACCAATCACCGGCCGTGCCCGTCCAAGCGTTGTCAGGTTGCAGGGGGTACGGTCACCGTTCAGGGGGGTGAGCCGTTTCGGCTGGTGGTCCTTCTCATCGCACTTTTGGCGAAGATACTGCACCTTCATGGCTAGTTTGATTGCTTTCTTCGGCAGTCAAGTCTGAACGTGTCAAAGATTCAATGCACTCTACTTAGGCTTGGCCAGACCAAGGCAGAGATGCTGCTGCGTTAGATGATCACTTTCCGCACCTCGTCTCTGTACCTCTCCATCCTGCTTTCAAAGTCCTGCTTCAGATCGCGAGTTCGTAGGAGAGCAGGCTTGCCAACGTGACATTCCACGGCTCCTTCTGTACTGCCTCAAGCACGGCCTCCTGGTGCGAGAACTCACAGACGGCGCAGCAATATCATCAAAGCATAAACCCTGACTGGGTCACGGCTCTTACACGGGGTCGCTCGCAGTTGCCGTGCCGCTGGGCCAATGGTGCAGCAAAATTCCCCCTGCCTGTCCGGCCCCTTGTCTGGCCTCGAGTCTGAGCTGCACATGTTAGGCTTTCGATGGTGGCATATGGCCCGAGCTCTTCAGGTGCAAAGTCGCAAGGGCAGTTTTGTGTGTCAGGAAAGAGAGTGCGAAGCGTGGGTGCATCGCCCCTGCTCAGGAACACTTCCAGCCGACCTTTGTTGTGGTCCTGGACCTTGGAAGATCTGAGAACTCTGCAAATGCGACAGGCAAACGGAATCAGAACTCGAAAGAAATGGATGGTGAGCAAACAACTATGGTCGGGGCCTTGGCTGGCAAACCGCAAGAGAGTAGCAGCGAGAGTACAGCTTCCTGCTCGCGAAGACTACAAGTAAGATCTTCGTATTGTCGCAGCGAAATGAATTTTAGCCAAATGCCATTCAAGGACGAAATCCCGCCTGCACGTCGCTGCCAGTGCCTTTCCGAGCTGGTTTGGACTTCCTCTCGCACACCACAGGAGTCACAGGAGTTCGCACTTATGAGGTATCCGAGCAATGCTCGTAACGCAGTAGCGTACTTCGTTGCCGTTAAGTACTCAGCCAGGTCGCCCCCAGCCCGTGACGAGGATGAACTTGCGGTCTCCGTATTTTAAGAGAATAGGAAGAACCACCTGGGAGAGCCACCATCGAACTGCCAGCGTCGCCGCCTCAGAGTTACAATCGTGGAGATCCAGAATGTCCACTGCCTTTGCCAGCAGCCTAGGGTAAATCTGGTGCTTCTCGAATCTTCTCATGCCATCTCGTTCCCCTGCAGCGAGCACAGCATTCATGCTGGCTGAGTTCAGGTCCGTGCTGCGAGCAAAGAAGTGCAGGGCCAGCTGCCACTCCCCGCTTCGTGTGCATGCACCTATGGCTGCATTGTACGTATAAACATCTGGAGAAAAGTTGGCTTCGCAGATCTGATCGAAAATCTGGCATACCATCTGCCACTGACCGCCTGTGCCACAGGAACTGGCCACTGCATTGTAGCTGCAAAGGTCCACATCGACACCAGAGCACTCCATTTGGTCGAACAAAGCAAGCGACAGTTTCCACTGATCTCCAAGCTCGCAAGCACTCATGGCAGCTGTATAGCAAATTGTGCTGGGCTGGAGATGGGCTGGAGGCATGGCCGCGAGCAGATGCAGTGCCAAAGGCCAGTGCGCACCGCTTGCACATGCAGAGATTGCAGAGCCGTAGCTCACGATTGTAGGGGCGATGGGCGGCAGTAGGTCGAACAAGCCGAAGAACAAGGCCAGTGCTTGCTGCCAATTGGAGTCCTTCTCGCAGGCACTCATCGTTGCGTTGTAGCTGATTGCCGTGGGCGTGATCGTCTCAGATGCCATGGACTCGAGCAGGGTCACTGCCATTTCGGAGCTTCCTGCACGCTCACACGCACTGATGGCCGCATTGTAGCTGTAAACGTCCCTGTCCAGCTGAGCCTGCACCATGCGAGTAAACAGAGCCAGCCCATGTTGCCAATGCCCAGCCTTGGCGCAAGCGGAGATAGCCGCATTGTACGCCACCGTGCTGGGTGCGACATTTTCCGCCTCGCCTAGCAGAGCCAGTGCTAACTGCCACTCTGCGCCCTTCTCGCAAGCGTTGATGGCGGCAGCATAACTGTACACGTTGGGAGACAGCTGTGCACGCTTCAGGTCCGCGGAAAAGTGCAGGGCGAGCTGCCAGTGGCCAGGCCTCGCAAGGGCACTGATTGTGGCGCTGTAGCTGATGATGTTAGGCTGCAGGTGGACGGCATTGATCTCATGGAAAAGTGCCAGTGCCAATGGCCACACCCCAGCCTTCTCAGCAGCCGTGATGGTGGTGTTGTAAATGATTACATTCGGATTCATGGCAGCCCCGGGCATTTCCCGGAAGAGATGCACCGCCACTTGCCAGTTTTCAGCACGGCCGCAGGCCCCAATGGCAGCCTTGTAATTAATGTTGTTTGGGCTGATGCGAGTTGTCTGCATGGCTTGCAACAGCCGTATTGTTGATTGCCACTGAGCGCCGACTTCACACGCACCCAGCACCGCGCCGAAGAGAACGACGTCTGGACTGATGGTCTGTTGGGCCCTCTCGAAGAGCTCCAGAGGCAGTTGCCATTGTCCACCCTGCTCCCGCGAAACAAATCCCGACACAGAAGGTGCTGCACCTACAGGCTACGTCGCAGTAAACACGGCTTAAATAAGCTTGAACACATCAGTGGCATCGGAGTTCTCTGAGTTTAAGGCCTGGAGACTGGAACCCGCTAAACTTCAGCACCCGTGAAACCCTCTTAATTTGCCCAAAGCCTTCTGGCACGCGGAAATGGCGGCACTGTAGGTAACGACGTCGGGGGTGGCTTTCAGCTCCGGCAGGGAGAAGAAGAGCTCCATGCAAGCCTGCGCTCGAGAATTCGGGACCGGAGGGCCTGAAATCCTACCTTCGTGCTTGATGGGAACACTCCGAGAGGGGTAGCGTGAGGCCCGGGAACCTGCCAGTGCATGGCTTTGCCAAATGCCGTCATGCTGGCATTGACATGAAAAAGAGAGACCTCAGTCAGGCGAGCAACCAACAACAGCAACCGTCAACATGAGAATGGCCATACTTCGATCGAGGAACAACGACGAAATCATACGCGAAGTAAACATGATAGTAAAAAAGAGCAGCCATTCTCGTGGCAAGCAGCTCCCTGCATGGCAGCCAAGACCTCGAGAACCGCTTTGCTCTTGCCTCTCGATGCCAAGGCCTGATCCCAAAGGTGAGAACATCCGTCCTAAAACAAAAGGTGCGAGGACTCTGAAGCCCCGAGGGCTTTCGTCCCTGCCCCCCTTGGCCTGCAACTTTGACATGCCGCCTCGTGGAGGTGCAAGATCCTGAGCGGGAGCCAGGCAAGGCAGAAGTCGCAGCAGAAGAATAACAATAATAATAGTAAGAAGAATACTCATAATAATAAGTAGAAATAATAATAATAGTAATAATAGTAATAATTAGTAATAATCATAACTATAAGTGACACTGCGGATCTTTGCAGAGGCTCTGTGGGGTGCGGGCAAGCCTTGGACTTCCCAGAGGCCCGCCGCAGACAGGCCCGCATTGCCCGGTTGCTGTTGTTGCACTTCAGCCTGGCATACCCTAACACCTAACCCCAAAACCCTAAAGGGAAAGTGAGATTCTCTCCGAAACCGGCAGCTTCAGCGGGCCTCAGCCGCCATCGTCGTCGGAATCTTCGTCGCAGTTCATGATCAAAAACTGCCGGTCGAGCAGGACGGGTGAGAGCATTGACCTGGTTGTCTGTTGTTTGAGCGATGGAGTGAAGGCTACTGACATCTCGATCTTTCAAGCCCGTGCTCCTCCGCGAATCTACCTCCATCTAGCCGGACGGAAGCTAGGCACACACTCGAATTCACTCAAACAGTGTCCAAGGACAGGATTCCCAAAGCCTACAGCCAGGATTGGTGGCATTTCCGAGAGGTTTGCACCGCTTGGCGCCTCCGGTAGCATTTTGATTTCGTATTAGCTGCTTGGCACGAAACTCGGCAGTGCTCCAGTTCATGTTGTCGGAAACCCCAATGACCCCTTCCTGGCAAACGAGCTCTCGTCTGTAGGTCAGCCTTGCTTGCTTCCTAGGCAGACCTCGCCAGTTCAATTCTTTGGCCGTCTGTGCCGTTTTACTAGTGCAGCCGCGGTACGCAACTAATTTGTCCAGATGAAGGAAAATCTGGTCGTCCGTCATCATCATGCTGTGGACAGTGAAGATAGACAGGAATACAGAGACTTCTGGGCTTGAGCCATGATGTCGGCAAGGCAAGCAGCCCGTGGATTTTCACCGTTTCGCATGCAAAGGTTGAGCAAGATACACCTCGACAAGGAACCATCTTCCGCGTGGAAGGCCGTGTTATGCGTTAAGGCTATCTTTTGAGGGCGCATCGGCCGCATCCGTTCAGGCTCAAGGCATTCTACTCCGGATTTTGACAACAGGTCGGACGGAGGATCCTGGCAGGTGACCGGCGGCCACTCCGCTTACACATGTTGGTCTGTGAAGCTCCTTGATGCACAAATCGGCAAGCGATCCCCGACAAGATGCTGCAGTGCATGCCGAGCGATGCTCACATAAGGCATCCCAAAGAGCTTCCCTACGCGTCAAGAAGCAACATGAAAAGCTGAATCTTAAATCCAAGCCCCCGAAGCCAAGGACCCGCAACAGATCCAGGGTCCCGGCCGACGCGCTGAGCTCACGCAAACGCTCCTTGTTCCGAAGGCTTCGATCGGCCCTCTTAGCGGTTCAGGGTTTCGGGTGCTGAGCCACCTTTTGCACTACCCAGCAGTCCGTTCTTCTCCGCAGCCGTCCTGCAACTTTTTGAGATCCTCTTCCAGCGCGTTTTTCTCATCTCTGGTCACCTGAACTAGCAGCTGGCCCATACGAGCCAAGCCATGTTAAGCATGTTGCAAAGTCGTCATGCACCACCAGAGCCACTTGACCCGTACTGGTCGTCCCAGGGGCTCAAGGCGGCAAGATCGCACGGCTGATACGCTCTTAGAAAAGTCGCATGGCCCAAAACATAGATGGGGCAAGGGTGCTTGAAACCAGGACTAAGGACAGCAACGACACCGACGGTCCGCAGCGACAAATACAGCTGCCAGTCGGGTGGACCAGCATAACAGAACATGGTTGAACTTCGTGCAATGCACAGTCAAAGGTTCAGGCCTTCAACTCCGACCGGTACATGTCCGTCTCCTTCGAAGCTGCCGAGTAAGCGCAGGCCCGGGTGGCCCAGACGGACTGCGAAAAGTTCTGGTGAAGCCCTCCGCTCTCTTTCGCTGCGTCCTTTGCGAACATGTCACGCATGGACTGAGCTTCCAGGAGCTTCTCCTGCCAAGCAGGGACTTGTCAGCACCCGGCAGGCAAGCCATGTTTCACACTTACGGTCGACGCAATGGGTCCTGCAAGTCAAACATAGGACAGCTGCTGCTCAGCACTTGGCTTTCTTCCCAAGGTGTCGGAAAGTGTTGCGCCTTCTAGTGATCTACAGCTTCTGTTGTCGGGGGGGATCATCTTGTCGGGGGGATCATCCCAGTCTGGAGTCACAATGACGGACGGTTGCCCTGCACACTGAACTCGGAGCCCTCAGCGCAAACAAGTTGCAGCCTCAACAAGCCGAGAATTTCCAAACCACCGAACCCCGTCAGCACCAACGCAGGGCAACTCTTGTTTGTACCGCAATCCACTTATGATTTTTTAGCATCGCTGTTGGGAGCCGTGCTCCTTCCGAATATGACTGCTATCCTACTATGAATACTGCGATTGTGCGGAATAGCATCATTGTTGCTGGTACCTGCTCTGCTAAGTAAGATTGCGAGTGCAAGTACTCTTGTCGCCCACCATCCCTACACCCCAAACCTTCTAATGCCGTATAAACACTATAGCTAACAGCCCTCGAGTTCAAAAAGCCAAAGCCTAAACCGATCCAGCGCGGTTCCTCTGCACCGAGCGCTCGCTCACTAAGCTCCCTGGCCTGCCAGGGTGGATGGTTGTCATGTTTTGTTTCTTGCTTCTCCTCTGGAGACGGCGGAGATGGGCTTTTCTTAGGATCTGTAAGGCTTCGATTTAGGGTCCAGCTGTGTAGTGTCTGGGTCCGTCTGGAACTCCGAGGCATAATATTCTCTATGATGACAGCTACTTCTCTGTATAAGTGTAAACATATATACACATAAACATAAACATACATACAGATACATATATATATATACACATAATATACATACACGCACAATTACGTACAGATACCGAAACAGGATATGTATGTATCATGGCTCGTCACATTGCTTGTCCGATGGATTATGCCTTGGCACTTCTGCGGCTTCGTGTGTGAAATGCATTATCTGATGTCGGTCGTCTATCCATCGTTCCATGCTGTCGTAATACCGTCATAGAGATCACAGTCTCATTCAATGTGGTGATCTTTTGCGGCAAACTCTTATGCTATCATGTCATGCAAGGAATCGCCTTGGACATGATTCCGATGTGATGTGACAGGCGCGAACTCCGCCTCTGAGCTACGCAGATTGTTCCTCCAACCTCGACACCTTCGTGGCCGCTGAAAAGTAAACGGCTTCCTGCTCGCCTAAGGGGCAAACGACCTTAACAAAATCTGTTGATCTAAGTGGGATCTCGAAAAAAGCGTTTCGGACAGCGTGGCACCCTCAAGGCTGTGACATGTCTTTCAGTGCAAGTCCCTTGCACCGAAGTCAAGAGTAAAGAGCCTTCACCTCGGCGGCACGCAGCACCTGCACAAGGGCCACAAGGGGCAAGGTCGCATCCAAGGCACCACGACGTGTGATCTCATTCCATCCCATTCCTGTCCAACCAACAGAACAAAGGATTCAGGAGTCCGGCGCAAAGCCCTGATTTAAAAGCCTTGTTTGGAGAAAGCTCGTCCTCAACCCTACATCGCGTCGCGAGGTCAGTAGTGTCTGCTGGCAAGCTAGTATCTGTCTCCTGTCGTCTCGACTGCACTGCACTGCAGAGGAAGTTGTTCAGCACCACTCCACATAGACCTCTTTGCCTGTCCTCTCTGCAACAGCCACTCCTTCGCCACAGTCCAAAGACCCAATAGCTCATCCGAGAGAGCAATCAAGCTTGTGACTCGAAAATGGTGCGTGATACATTGCTACACGTGCATTAATTCTTGTGCCCTTCTACCGTGAAGGGGTGCAGCAAATTACTGTCCTACCTGCCTGTACCTCCCTACCTCCCTCCCTCCCTACATGCATGCGTGCGTGAATGCATGCGCGCGGTCATGCAAACTGACAACAAGGTGCGTTCGTACATGCACACATATATGCATACATGTACAAGCAGACAAACACATTCACGACCAAGGTAGTGTTCGTCATCTTGCCCATGAGCCCAACCTATGCCATAGCCATTCAATCATATTTGTTACTGTCTTGCCCGAAGTTTCATTGCCAAGCCTCACAGTAAAATGTCCGATTGGAGTGCAGAGCAGAAGCCTCTTCGTTTCCTGCGCCGTGGCTCTCCTCTGCATGTGCCAGCCTCTGCTGAGCCTGGTCGAGCGCCCAAGCTGGCGGGAAGCTAAGAAGGCTGCTTGCATGTGCTTTCGAACGATGCGACGGACACACTGATTACTCCTCCATCGAGGGTCCCTACGATGTGTAGCTTCGCTGGGGGCTTAAGTGCGCCTCTCCAAGGGACACCGAGAGGTCGACACACTTCTGCTGCTCCTCCTGCAGTTGCACCTGCGTTACCAGGACATCAAGCGCTGGGATGGGATCCACTGGTCGCTGGTCGACCACTTGTTGCCAGATGTGCGAGGCATCAGCAACAGCTGGTGCTAATCGCGAACTACGCAGAAAAGGAGACTCGGCAGATTTTACCGGACTTCCCGTCGAGCCTCATTTCTGCCCGAATACGAATGTTACTGTGTGTTGCAAAAGCCGGTTTCGCTGTGTATGGCGAAAGTTCAGCCAATCCCGACAAACAAAAGTGTGCAGCCGAAAGTTAGCCAGACCAGGCACGAAATGTCCATTCTTTTGTCTGCGCGATTAAAACTTCGGGCTGGCGCTAGCTTTTTGCAAGCTGGCCAAGTAGTGTACACCGCGGGAAGCCGAGACCTTGAGCTGACAGTGACGAGGATTCGAGGTTGGTGGTCACTACCAATCATGATATCACACTTTACAGTTGTTTATAGATATATGTGTATATTAATATAATACATGTATATATATATATATTCATATATAGAGTTCTAGTCTTGTTCATGGCACTTTGTCAGATTCTGCACCCCAAGGATTTGGGCTGCTGATCACTTTGGATCAATGCCCACGACCTCCCACACCCGGCAGTAGGCCCGGAATTTAGACTCGGTTCAGTAGATATCCACACATACTGGCATATTGTAAATGTAAAGAGAGATAAAGTTGCGTAGGTGCATACAGAGAATCATAGACATACTCATGTACAAAGAATAGCTAGGCAAATCGGGAGTTGGATAGTCAGATAAAGATAGAGAAATAGGTAGTTAGAGTCGGTGCGGTGGCATGCTACTCGTGAACTCATTTTATGATCCCTGAAGGAACGACTGGCCTAAAATCCTGCTCTTCCTGTTTCCCTGGTGAGCGCTGCACGCTTCACTGTGGATTCCAGGCTCCTGCGACCACATTGGCAAATTGTGAAGCTGGCTGCTTTAAGTACGCCGGCATAAGTTTGAACAGGTCTGCATATATGTCTATCTTTTCGAGGATTCAGTCTACATTTGCATTTCTCGTTGCTGACGGTGTTTGACGGAGGATACGAGAATATGTACTACAATGCAGCATGCAAGGAACATACTGAATGAATTCTGTGCATTCATATATATATATATACATACACACACATACACACGTACACACACACACACCCAGAGAGGCACTTGTCACACTATGTATTTTGTGCGAAAAGCAGATTGGCACAGCGGTGCTGAAATGCTTGAAGGACACCGTCAAACCTGAGCCCTGTGGTATGTCTGTGTTGTAAGAGGTGCAGAAGCAGGGACCCTCCAAAGCTCAACGCCTCGTGGAACCAGCAAATATGCACCTTTGACCTGAAAATTCTGGCCAAATCGCCGCTTCGTCACTTTAGGTGTCCTCACCAAAGCTAGGCTCTGAAGCCTCCCATAACATTTTCTCTTTCTGCACCTCTCGACTCGAGGTCCTTCTTGCACCGCTATTTTGTTCCCGGACTCCTCTAAGGCACATTGCAGGCCGCGGAGGGCGCTGATACACCGCTGGCGCCAAGTTAGGCGCCAAAACCTCGGCCAGGGGCAGTGTTTGTGATGAAACTGAGATCTCTTAAGAACAGCTGGATGCTAGAGAG